CACCACATCACCATCATCGTCACCATCATCATCACCACCATCATCACCACCATCATCACCATCACCACCATCACCACCACCACCATCATCACCACCATCATCACCATCACCATCATCATCATCATCGAAAAGTTTGGTAAATCATGTTCATGATACTGGAATCGAGTTTGATGAGTTCATCTTGTATTCCTGGTCATGACTAGCCCAGGCAGGGGCACTCTCTGAGTCTTTACTGCACTAGTTGTAATGTAATCTACACTAGCATCCAACCTGGGTTACACCACGACTAATTAACAGTGCCAGTAACTGCACTGGTATTAATAGGTGGCGGGCTACAGGCCTACCCCTCTTTTTCAAATTTGGGGATTGATCGGTTCAATACAACCGATCTTTCATATTACGTTTAACCTATTTTGGGAGAATTTAGATTTAAAATTTGTGAGAAAATCTGACTTTCTAACTGACACTAGATGTAAACCAGTATTAAAGCAAATTTGACTCCACTACGTTTCATGTTAAAACAGTTTTTCCCTCATGCATGTTAATTCCCTCAAAATAACTCAACCCTCTGCCCTCTTTTACAATATTATTAACCCTAAAGTTTTTCAGCATACTGGCAAAAGGCAAACGTTAACTACCTTGGTGAATCAAAAAGTTTAATCTCCCACTTATTGTAGGAATACATGTATGGTCCCCAAATACACAATTCCCGTAGCCAGACCGGATGGCAAGTAACAGCCAGGACAGGATGCTGAACTTATCCAAGCAGAGTGAGGTGCAGAACTGTCTGCTAGTAGAACCAGAGTAGTAGGTAGAAGAGAGTTCTGGACCAGCCCCCTTTTCCACCCTGCTTCCACGCTTCACCGCTAACAGGCCCATTCACACCAGCGCCGGGACTTACCACTTCACCCACCTTGACCTTTGACCCCGGCGCTTTCCCCACTACTCGTACAGACCTAAACCTCTCGTCCACACAGACCCATTCACTCGCCTCGACTTTTGGCTCCGGCGCTTTCTGTAAAAAACTCGAGGCTCTAAAACAAAAGAGGGAATTCCCCTCGCTTTCCCAATCGCTACAAGTCTCGACTTGCCCGGCCTGAACTTGTGACTCCTACTTGAAGCACTCAGTTTACGACCTCCTTAAATAAATGGACTATTAATAAAAAAAAACACGTCTAACCAAACCTACATCGTAACCGACGACCACGAGCGTCTCA